AGCGCTGTCACTGCCTTCCGCCATTTCGTCTCGAACAAAAAAAAAACAACAACAACAACAGTGTCATGGTTCCACTGTTTTTAACATCGACAATAATAAACGTTTTCTGAAGGATCATGTGACACAGGGCTGGACTAGGCGCTGGACAAATCCAGCCAATCCGGGCCACAAGTTCCTCGTGCATGTTTTGCTGGGTTATAGAGCCTTCGATTGGAGTAAATAAATGAATAAATAAAACAGGACAGAAATAAATAATGATAGATATTACTGAATTCCCAGCAAATGCAACAAACCTAATAATGCAGTTTTGTCACATATAAAGGCACTTGACAGTAAAGCAATGATTTTGAGCTAGAATGCCAGCAAAAATGACGCGCATATTGAGGAAACGATGGATGGTTTCCAAGCGAAAGTCAAGTAAAAGACCGCTTCTTAAACCAGAGAAGGTGAACATGCTGGCATTCTTGTGGGGGGAAAAACATGCAAGCACTGTCAGAGTTAGTTTTACTTTTCTTTTTGTTTTCATTTTTGAAAAACGTATCTTTGCTGTTTAAATTCATTTAAAGAGAAAGAAGCTATTAAAGCTATTCTGTAAAATTATCCTTTGCCCGAATGAAATGTACTATAGTTAATAGAATCCAGAGTTGAACTGATTAGTATTAGTAAGATGGTGGTCACAACAAATAAGTCATGGTCCTCCTCATTACCATGCTTACATGATTTATATGGTATATTTGAAATAAATAAGAAGTAATAACAAACTATGGAATCTGTAATAAAAAAAAAAGCCCCAAAGATGTAGAAACTACAAAAACAACTTCTATAAAAGTAAAATATTCCCCAATATTTAATGTCACCGTGCCACTATTTTAACACTATTTTTACTACCTTTCTGGGCCCTGAATGTGGTAGTTGCGTTGCTGTCTATACAGGATAAGAAAGCTCTCGGATTTCATAAAAAATATCATAATTTGTGTTCCGAAGATGAACAAAGATCTTCCGGCTTTGGAATGACATGAGGGTGAGTAATTAATGACAGAATTTTCATTTTTAGGTGAACTATCCCTTTAAGAACTGTGTCAGACTATCTAATGTAGAAAATATCAACACTGACATCAGCTTTTCCAACATAAAAGCATATTAACAAACCAGCAGGATGCTGAATAGTCCTATTAACATTGACCCTTCAGTATTTTAAGACAGGAATATTTCACACTTGCTGCTGCTTCTCACTGATGAGCCATACAGACCTTGAGAAACTAATAACACCAAACATCACTCCCATAAGTACACATGTACACAAGCTGAACGGGTGTTTTAGTGCAAGAACAGATGCCCAGATTCTCTGTTAGCACTTCATCACTAGGTGGGACTGTGATATAATTTTCATTACAGTATAGCTCAGCGTCAGGGACTGCATCTTAAGCTCAATGGTTATCAAACATACAGCACGTAGATGTAACTATGAAAATAAGAGTGTATTTATGTATCATATTTTATTTTTAAATCTAGTTAACACTACATCTAAAAGCTCATTACATTATGTGACCCTGGACCACAAAACCAGTCATAAGTAACACGGGTATATTTGTAGCAATAGCCAACAATACATTGTATAGGTCAAAATTATCGACATATAAAAACATTAGAATATTAAGTAAAAGTCATGTTCCATGAAGATATTTAGTCAATTTTCTTACCGTAAATATATCAAAACTTAATTTTTTATTAGTAATATGCATTGCTAAGGACTTAAAAGGTGATTTTCTCAATATTTAGTTTTTTTTTGCACCCTCAGATTCCAGATTTGCAAATAGTTGTATCTCAGCCAAATATTGTTCTATCCTAACAATACATACATCAATGGAAAGCTTATTTATTCAGCTTATTCAATAAAAAAATGGACCCTTATGACTGGTTTTGTGGTCCATGGTCACATATTATCTCTGCAAATATTACATTCCCCCCCTCAAAAAAAAATAACTCAGCATATGCACACCTGCATGAGTTTGTGAGAAGGCCTTTTTGGTTGGTTGTCTGGGTGATTTGGAGTCCAAGCCCCTAGGCTCTGATTGGAATAGAAATCCATAGGATACACCTCCTGCCATCCCACCTGCTGCAGCGCTACTGCTGCCTGAAAGAGAGAGGGATTTTTAATTAAAGACATCAGACTGCAGCATCAAACACTGTAGCTGCAAGCCAGAGGAACAGCAAGAATCTTAAGAAAACAACATGGCAGGGCTGCCAACAGCTGACGGGCCGATACACACATCAGCTATGAGCGCAATCGGATATCAAGGGAGCTATAGTCAAACACGGCGCTTCTCGTCTAAGAGGGCAAGTCACCTGACTCTCACACCGCATACCATCTCCTGGATGGCTCTATGTATTACCGATGCACAAAGATCTTCCCCACTAGCGAAATGCACCGAGTCGAGCCTCTGAGTCGAGGTGAGATCCGTGCTGTTCAATGTGACCTACAAATGCAGACGAATACATTAGCGGGCCTCCAGAGGAATGCAGGAGTTCCTCGTGCATGTGACTATATTACATAAACTCCGGCAGGATCTCACCCGTCAGACTGAGCTGCTTATATGAATAATCAATGCGCCGTGTTCGTCTCCGCCCGTGGGCACGTATACCCACTTCACAAGCGAGATGCGCTGTAACGAACGGCTCTAATACCACGGGAGAAATGACAAACGCCCCCGCCTCCGGTGAAGGACTGTCTCTCTCCGCTGACAATACTACAATACCTCACAAACAAACGCTTCTTCATAAATCTCTCTTAAATACCGTTCAAAACCTAATGCTACAGTCACTCGCTTTTATTGACTGGAAAAGCGACAGTCGAGAAGTTCTCGCCTGAATGTTTTTCTGTGAAAATTGAGGCTTCTGAAATATAGCAGGCTATGTATTTAATAATTTAGACTCTTATTAACCCTACATAGAAATGTTAAAAAATAATAAAAAAATATATATATTGTTTGGTCAGAGTTGTGATCAAAAGCCAGGACAGACTGACTCACATTTTATTATTAATATTTTAAAATAATAGTTAAAGCCAAAAAGAACACAAGTGGAAGTATGTAGAGACCAAAAAGTAAAACTATTTATATATAGGCACTATTTCACTATTAATTTTGTAGAAAACTAAATAAATATTAATAATTTTATTTTAATCTTTTTTTATTTATATTTATTAAATCCAGTCAGACACACCCAAACCCCTGTAATTCACACCTCATAAATCTTGCTTGCCACTATATTTGTCATCTACTGTATCTCTAGAATGGTGGTTATTTTAGTGTTATAGAGAGTCAAATGGTCAGTATTGTATATATATATATATATATATATATATATATATACGCACCCACTTACATATTATATATACATTTATATATATCATAAACATTATAACAAAACATTCTAATTTAATAGTTATTACATAGAAATCACGTAGGATCAAAAATTCAAGAAACGTATACAGAGGCACTACTTCAGTTTTTATATTTGTTGTTAAATTGATGTTAATTGTTAGTAATTTGAATAATAATAATAATAATAATAATAATTCAATAATCAAACTAGGAAATGAAACAAATGGAAGAAAGGGAATTATGTAGGGACCAAAAAGTCAAGAAGTTTATAAATAAGCACTATTTAACTACTTACATTTGTTTATGAAAAAACAAATAACTATAAATATTTAATCCAAAATAATTGAATATTATTAAAATAGTATTTATACTATTAAAAAATAAAAGAATAAAATAAAATAAGAATGACACTGTACATGATATATTAACACTGATGTTAAATCATCTTAATAATATTACATTCATATATATGACTTTCTGTGTGAATATAGTCAATTAGCGATGTTGAAAAATGATGAAAAAAAATATTTTTATGAGATAAGATCTTGGATGAGCTTTTTATCTGCTTTGGCTGTGCTGCCAACACCAGTCTTTCGTCCTCTCTTCTTCCATCCATCCTGTTCTTATTAACCCTGGCACATCCATCTCTCTTTCACTGGCTTTTCATCAGAGCTGTGCATAAGCCACCTGCTAATCCCTGCACTGACATGAGAGGCAAGTGTGTCATATTGACTATAAATATATCATGAGACACACTGAAAATGACTGCCCTCTCTCTCTCTTTCTTCATACTTCACTTTCACACTCCCTTACATCCTCTCATTTCTTGACTTCACAGAAAAAGCAAACACAAGCAGAGAAGCATTAAGGTGGCAGTTTCTGAAAAGACTTTTACTATGAACTCCATGTTTAAGCAAACCGGCTGGGCAGGAACACTGTTACCCCTTTTATTATGGGCTGAGCCTTCACAAAACAACAGCGTGTTATTGCTGCATTTTAATGTATTCTCATAATGCCACATTTGCTCTACGCTTCTACGACACCAAATGCGCTGAGCTCCGGCGTGGGCCAAGCAGCAATGAAAATGGATTACGGTGACGTGTAGAATATGAGAGCCACATATGATTATGCAGTGCTTCAATATGGCTCAACTGAGCATTATCATTATTCACTAAGAGATATGATGCCATAAAAACTCAACATAAATGAGCTTCTTCCTGGTACAGTGGGTACATTGTTGCTATAGACCGATATATCGGGCAGGATGATTAACAGGCTGATATTTAGTCATTTTGAGAGGCATCGGCAGATAACCATGCCTGCTTGGCTGATAAACAGAAGATTCCCCTCACGGCAGTTTCAAAATACTGCAAGTCAACAGCATTGTCAATGGATAGTGCACATAGTGAATTTTAAATAAGCACTGCATAAAATATCTTTCTGTTGTAACTGATTATGTTTTAGGACTGTGGACATAATGATGTATGTGTACAAATAATAATAGTCATATTGAAATGAACTTTCTGTCCTAATCAAAACCTAGTAATCCTCACATCTGAAAATTCATTGCTTTAATTTATGTTTTATATTTAGGATCTTTAAAAAAAAAAAAAAAAAGTTGAAAAATGATGAAAAAAAATATTTTTATGAGATAAGATCTTGGATGAGCTTTTTATCTGCTTTGGCTGTGCTGCCAACACCAGTCTTTCGTCCTCTCTTCTTCCATCCATCCTGTTCTTATTAACCCTGGCACATCCATCTCTCTTTCACTGGCTTTTCATCAGAGCTGTGCATAAGCCACCTGCTAATCCCTGCACTGACATGAGAGGCAAGTGTGTCATATTGACTATAAATATATCATGAGACACACTGAAAATGACTGCCCTCTCTCTCTCTTTCTTCATACTTCACTTTCACACTCCCTTACATCCTCTCATTTCTTGACTTCACAGAAAAAGCAAACACAAGCAGAGAAGCATTAAGGTGGCAGTTTCTGAAAAGACTTTTACTATGAACTCCATGTTTAAGCAAACCGGCTGGGCAGGAACACTGTTACCCCTTTTATTATGGGCTGAGCCTTCACAAAACAACAGCGTGTTATTGCTGCATTTTAATGTATTCTCATAATGCCACATTTGCTCTACGCTTCTACGACACCAAATGCGCTGAGCTCCGGCGTGGGCCAAGCAGCAATGAAAATGGATTACGGTGACGTGTAGAATATGAGAGCCACATATGATTATGCAGTGCTTCAATATGGCTCAACTGAGCATTATCATTATTCACTAAGAGATATGATGCCATAAAAACTCAACATAAATGAGCTTCTTCCTGGTACAGTGGGTACATTGTTGCTATAGACCGATATATCGGGCAGGATGATTAACAGGCTGATATTTAGTCATTTTGAGAGGCATCGGCAGATAACCATGCCTGCTTGGCTGATAAACAGAAGATTCCCCTCACGGCAGTTTCAAAATACTGCAAGTCAACAGCATTGTCAATGGATAGTGCACATAGTGAATTTTAAATAAGCACTGCATAAAATATCTTTCTGTTGTAACTGATTATGTTTTAGGACTGTGGACATAATGATGTATGTATACAAATAATAATAGTCATATTGAAATGAACTTTCTGTCCTAATCAAAACCTAGTAATCCTCACATCTGAAAATTCATTGCTTTAATTTATGTTTTATATTTAGGATCTTTAAAAAAAAAAAAAAAAAGCTAAATTACATACTACAATTATACATTATACAAATACAAGTTTGTGGTCGGTAAGTCTTTTTTTTCATGTTTTTGAAGTCTTTTAAGCTCACAAATGCTGAATTTGTTTCATTGCATTTATTTGAGTATTATTGTGAAATATTATTACGATTTTCTTCAGTGTCACATGATCCTTCAGAAATCATTTTAATATGCTGATTCAGTGCTCAAGAAACATTTCTTATTATTATCAATGTTGAAAAAAGTTGTGCTGAATAGAACATTTATTTGAAACTGAATTTTTTTTTTACCATTATAAAGGCCTTTACTGTCACTTTTGATCATTTTAATGTGCCCTTGCTAAATAAAAGTATTAATTTACTGATTTTTAAAAAAAAATCGTACTGAACTCAGTTTTAAACAGTAAATTATAACAACACATTAATTATAAAACAAATAGTAATATTATAAATTACTACTGTTTGAAATAACGTTATTTATACATTTATTATATAATATAAACACAAATATATATTTATATGTTAATATATAAGCCCCATTTTTTACAGCCATCACTCCAGTCTACTAAGAAAATCCTTCTAATGTGACTGAAATTGGTACTCAAGAAACATTTTAATAGGGTTGAAAATTGTTGTCCTGCTTAATATCCTGTGGAAAGCAAAAACTCGTTTCTCTCAAGTCACTGTACAGTATCACATTTTGGTTATAAAACTGACCAAACACAAACATATTTTAGAAACCTCATCAGTCTGTTGTTCTTTTAAGAGATGAAGACTATTTCATGCACTGCTGTCTTGAAAAAAGCCAGCAAACTGGATCAAATAAGGACAGAGAGAGAAGAGAACGGCTCTCGTGCACAACAACAAGAGGACAAGCACATCAGAGCCTCAAGTAGAGTCTCAGCTGGCAGCTTCATTGAACAGTGCACACTAAACACCAGCTTCTGGCCTTTAGGCAGAGTTTCAAAGAAAAAGCCACATCTGACATTGGCAAATAAGCAGAAAATGGTAGACGGGCTAAAGAACATAAAAATAACACATGGCAAACTATTATTATGGATGGGTGATTCTAAGTTTGAGATGTTGTGGATATTGTTTAAACATACAGTAATTCAATCACACTTCAAAGTCTGCAACACTGCCATTGCTGCAAGCTGAGAATTCGCTGACAGATGATGTTTTTTATTTTTTATTATTTGTAATGCAATATACTGTCATTTGTGACACATTAAATAAAAGCAAAGAAAATAAAATAAAAACAGCGATTTTCAAAATTATTTGTATAATTATTATTTTTTAAATGTAAGGCAAATTTTGATAAATATAAAGCAAACAAATGTTATTTCGATTACAATCGAATATATATATTTTTTATTTATAACTCATTTTATAAATGATATCAATGTTTAATATTATTAAAAATTGCAGCAAAGAACCCTTTGTCATTGATAAAACTATCAATTTCTTTCAAAATCACACACAAATAAGGATTATATCAGCTATCGGGCAACCTCATCTCCAGATATCAGTATCGATTTTTGTATCAGCCACAGAAAACCCAATATCAGTCGACCAATAGTATATATTCCTGATAGACTAAGCAAGAAGAGTAACAGGCATCCTAATGAGGTCTATCTGCAGATAAAAATCTGCCAGATGTTTCTGTTTTGCATCTGGGAATGGGGAATAGGGATTTAACCGAGATACCTATCCCAGGAAAAACCCTTGGTGTGTGATTCTGGCTAAGTCCTGTTTTGGCATGACATGAATCGAGATGCGCACTCGCTTCTGGTGATGAGATTATTATGTATATATAAATACACACATATACAGTAAATATTTTGAAAATATTTACTGAGTAAATACATTTAAATATTTATATTCTTATATTTTATATTATAGATAAATAAATTTAATATATAAAAACATATTTGTATTAATACATGCATGTGTTTGTATTTATATATACATAATAAATATGCACAGTATACACATTTTGTAAACAAAACTTTATTTTGGATGCGATTAATCGCAAGAGGTGCTGCAGTTAGTCGGCCATTGGGAGGAGCTACTGTTCCACCCTGAGCTGGCCGACTCATCCCGTCTGTCTCTGTGGAGTAGAGACGGTGGGTAAACAAACCCTGCTCCTTCACTAGCATTAAAGTGTGTGCGTAGATGTTAGTTTGCGAGCACTAACACATACACACGTTCACACAAATGCATACACAGCCTTTATGTCCCAAAGGCACTCAGACATGGCCAGAAACACTCATGACAAACATGACGGGCAGCATGTGGACTGACGGGGCAGAGGTGAACACCTGCAGGGAAAGTACAGCTGTGTGGCGTGTGTTAAGGGAGATGGGGATTCTTAAGGTCTGCGTGGGTCTTTTTGTCTTTGCTTTCATAGTCAAGTACAGTAAATGGAGGATTGTGCTGTGTGCATGTATGCAAGACTTGTGTACCTCATATGGAGACAGCAAGGGTTTGGAGAAAGCCGTTCCCCAGTCGATGGAGAGGCGAGGACAAGCAATCTGCACCCACCTATGAAGGAAGATGAGTAAAGAGACCTAGTTAAACAAAATCAATCAAAGTGAAAATTGAAATGTTTGCAAACCAGTTTACTTAATTGAGATATGTGATTATATCAGAGTGAGAACAAAATGTAGGGCTTTTTATTCAAGAGGAAATGATCGGATCGTTAAAAGTTGTCTCGGCAGGGTGAAAAGATACTGACAGAGTGGGCGTGTTATAAAACATTATCAAAAAATTAAATATAAAGTCTCCATGGGGAATTTTGTGATAACTAAAAAGGGGTATGGTGTCCTTACTACTGTGACTGGTTGAGGACAAGGTTTTCAAAAATGATATCAGACAAATAAAAGCAGAATAAAGAGATTAAAGGACAAGTGTGAATATAATTGTTTTTATTTGGAATGATGTGCACTGATGAATCAACCACAATAAGACCAGGCATCTAATTAAATGAAATTATGATTTTATGTTCACTGGAATTTGCATATTGTAACCCTTAATTAAGGATGTGGAAAATTATATTTTTCAAATAAATTACTCTATTTAAAATAAATTAAATCTAGTTGACCACTGTGACCCATCTGTGAATATTTAAAAATGAAATAAAATCTGTGTTATTTTAGTATTATTTATATACTATTATAGTAGTTATTAATATTTTGAATTAACTTTTAAATAATTAATATAAATACATCCATATACAAAATAATGTAAATAAATAAATAATACAGATTTGAATTAGCTTTATTTGCACTTTTACAATTGTAATTTTAGTTTGTTTTATGTACTTTTGTAATTTTTATTTTTATTTCTTTTAAATATTTATATGTAGTTCGAAGTAGGAGTCGACCAATATGTGTTTTTCAGGGCCGATGCCCATACCGATGATTACAGATCAAGTAGACCGATCACCAATATTTTGAACCGATATGTCTGGTGTAAAAATGAAAATTAATGTCAAAATTAAGAATAACAAGGGCTCTGATAAAAAAACTTTCTTTAAATGCTTTTAAATTATTTTATCAGCAATAGGGATGGGTATCGTTTTTTTCTTCTTCCGATACCTATGCCAAATCGATACTTTTAAAACGGTTCCGGTGCCTAAACCGATACTTAAAAAATAAACACATAAAAATTCCCCCCAGAAATTATGGATTGGCGGGGTTCATGGGCGGGGCTTCGCCTAACAGTATATGTAGCAAGGTTTTTTTTGTTTGTTTGTTTGCTTATTTTGTTTTTATAATAAATTAAAAGAAAACAAGTAGAAAGAATAGAAAAAGAATATGGAATGCTAGTGTTAGAGGGTCATTTTTAAATAAAAATAAAACAATTCAATAGAACAGGAAAAGAACAGATAATGCTAGTGTTAGAAGGTCATTATTTATAATAAATAAAAAGAAAATAAGTGGAAAGAATAGATAAAGAATAGAGAATGCTAGTGTTAAAGGCTCTTTTTTCTTTATAAATAAAACAAGTAGTTAACATAGAAATAGAATAGAGAGTGCAAATGTTAGAGGGTCATGTTTTTTAATTAAAAAAACAAGCAGATAAAATTTGAAGTAGCATTAGAATAGAGAGTGCTAGAGTTAGAGGGTCAAATGAAGATCGGATGTGTGTCTACCTTTGAGTGCAGGTGAGGACACGTTCAAGCTGCATTTGGTGCAGCTCGAGCTGGAGGCCGTGGAGAAGCAGATCCACGACCTGGTGGAGAGGCAGACCCAGCTGAGAGAGCGGAGAGCAATCATCCCAGGCTGACGCTCACAAGTCCGAGGTAACTACCACAAGCGAGGTAGCCCGCTGCTAACTCTCCCACCACCTCTACTCTGTGTGTTTCTCTGCACAGGCCCGGTGCACCCAGGACGCGATCTTCCCAGATGTCCTTCACTCCGGCGCCGGGACACCACGGACCCTGGGTGCACC